GTCCGTTGGATCCGTATTTTATCGAAGGTATATTATTCTTCTTCAATTAATTTTTACACTATTTATATTCTTAGCCAATTATTTATTAATAATTTAATTTAATTTATCATCCATAGACAATATAAGTTCTGTTTTGGAGCATGTTAAGCCGGCTATGCTCTTCATTGACGAAAAGTTTTATATGATAGCTCTTCGCTCTATGAATCAATCAAAAATTGGCAAAGGCATGCCCAACACAAAAATCATAGTTTTTTCTGATAAGAATAAAAATCCACCAACTAAAAATAAAAAGTTACTAACTCTGGAAGTTCTCATGGACCACAGCGATCTGGTCAGGGTTGAACTTTTTTCCTGTGCAAAAATGACAAATATAAAGTCAACTGCGATGATATTGTTTACTTCAGGCACAACTGCTTCTCCCGTACATATAAAAATTCCTCATGTAGCTTTCATGGCTCCACCAGATCAGCACGCACCCAATATGCTTAAAAATGATACCGCTCTGTTGTTTGAATCCTTATGCTTTATCAATGGCATATTCATAACTATTCAGGCTATTCTTTTGCACGTAAAAGTAATCAGAATTGAATCGCGGTTTGATGCAGAAACAGCGTGTAAAATAATAGAGAAATACAGGGTATTGTATAGACATTTAAATTTTTCTATGAATATATAGAGAATATGAAATATTTACATAATATATAAAATATGAAATATTTTTTTATCTTAGGTGACGTGGGCTTTTTTTGAAACTAGTATGTGCCTCCAATTAATTAAGTCTTGCCAGCTTGAAAGAGATGATGTCTCCTCTTTAAAGACAGTTGTATTCAGCGGTTGGGGAAAGTCGGATCCAGTGGTTATGTAAGTGCAGATGTTCAATTAAAATTTGTCTCTTTAGATCAAGATCAAAAGTTAATAAAAGTACGTCCAAACATGCAGGGTGAGATTTATTGCACTTCTCCCTATATGATGATAATACATGAGGCTCAAGAACTTCACTTAGGTTAGTCAGTTATATTCTCTTTTAATTAATATTCTTTAATTATGATTCTATATTATATGACATGTATGCTTTAAATTATTAATGAAAAAAATATATTGTGTATAAAAAGTTTATACTGATTCGTACAGAGGGATTAGATAATTCAATTTGGTTCAAAACCGGAGATATGGGTTTTTACGATGAAGATGGCGAAATATTTGTCGTCGAGCGAATAAACCAACTTTGTGAAATCAAAAAACAGCTATTTTCACCAACATTAATCGAAAATACGTTACACGATCATATGGCGGTGTTCGAAGCCGTTGCAATCTATATATCGAGTCATAATGATACATATGCAATAGCGTTTATTACAAAGATGCTTGGAGTAGAGGTTTAAATAATTCACTTCTTATAAAATCAAATATTTTTATAAAGTCAAGCATTATTTATACAAAAAGATTTATGTTATTATCTCGTAGGTGACAGAAATGGAATTGAAACAACATGTGATACAAAATTGTGATTGCTACAATGAGCTTCGGCATGTGATATTCCTTCCGCATTTGCCGCGCTTTTCTAACGGAAGAATCAATCGCAAGTTACTTTATAACATGGCGCGTTCTAATATATTCTGGTAAAGATCGATAATTTTTGATTAATTTGTCAGCAGAGCATTATAACCTGCGTATTAAAATTTGTGGTAGCAAAAAAAAATAGTCGGAAACACAGATACAAAATTATGAAATAAACATGTTCAAATCTCATGTTTTGAATATGTGAGCCAAGATGTAATACCAAATTATACGATAATGTAATATTTTAGTATTTTTAATAAAAAATGTGATGCATATGTATTAAATTTTATAATTAGAGTAAAATATTTTTTATCGGAAGTGAAAAATGTAATGTTTCATATAATGTTGTATGATTAAACCGAAGCAAATTTGACTGCAGTTTTGAAGTGATTTCGAATAAGAAAATTATACATGACACAGAATATTGATAAATTTTATATTATATTCCAATATCAACAATTATGCATCCTTATATATGTAGTTGTAATATACCATAAATTTTGTTTACTAGAACTTTATGATTTCTTAAATATATTTCTTTAGTCAATCTGTAAAAATATTATGTTAAAATCAGCAGAAAATATCAATAGCTTAAACACTTTTTAAAAATTCTAAAAAAAGGATTGTTCTTGGTCTCAGAAATCTTTGTAAATATTCAAAGTACAATATGTCAAGAGATTATCTTCAATCGTATAAATGACTGTTTTGACACGCTTATAATGACCCAGTTTCAAAATTATTAGCTACAAGATTTGATGCAAAAATCCCCTCCTCCTTCTTTTTGGCAAAAAAAAATTCTATGACGTTTGATATATTATAGCATTACATTTATGTTAATTATATATCATATATATTGCGACTTTTTTTTTATTTTCACAAGGCTGTCCCGAATCTAAATAACGCGCGTCTCAGAGCAAAATAATTTCGCTTTTTTTCTAATTCTGAGGTCACAAAATAACAATAAACAGATGTTAAATCAACGGAATTCAAAGCTTAATCACGCAATATGTCATTTGTAACACAGATAATATTACTGCCTTTGATACCAATAATTTCTCAATTTCAATATTTTAATGCAATAACATATAAAAACATAAAAAAGGGTATCGCATCATTAGCGTAATAGTGTGTGTGATAAACAATAATAAAAATTACTTTATGAAATTTACAACATAATAAATACATATAATTAATAAAATATATCGTGTATAATTTTATTGTTAGGAGACTTTTCAGACAGATGTTCCATTCAAAACAAGAACAATTTTAATAGAAAAAGAAACTATAAAATCATTTGACAGAAAGTGTTTCAAATGATTTCTATACCCTACAAGTACCGGAAATTTGTTCTTGGAAAAATTTAACCGTTGGCCACATTTAATTGGTCAGGTACAACATATTAATAACAAATATCTTATATAATAATACATTTAAAAATTTTTTAAATGTATCATTATATAAGATATTTTAAAAATAAAAATTATATTTTTATTCACATGGATATGTATATAGAAAAATATTATTTAAAAGCAATGTAAATAGATATGCTTCGCAAATGAACGCAGAACCATCGCTTTTAAAAGATTGACAACCCTGAAATTATAGTTCTATATTTTTCAGCCTATTTATTTAATTCAAGTATTGTGCAAAATTTTTAATATTTTTGGAAATATGCACTGCGCTAAGCATTAATTTTTCCACAGTTTTTTTTTCTATAAACGCGTAAATTTTTAAAATTTGTAATTAGAAAATAAATAAAACTTTGTAATAAAATTTTTTATAAAACCTTTATGTTTGAAGAGAAATCTTTATAAAGATCAGAATTTGTAAATTACAAATCCCTGGAGAATATATACCCTCATATAAAATTAATTGATTTTCCAAATTATATATGTCAATTATAATGATATTAAAAGATAATTTAAAACTTTTGTAATTAACATTAGTTTTAAAGTGTCTATATGTACTTTAATAAACAAATGTTTATGTAATATAAAGATATTCTACAAGTGATATGCCCACATTACAGTGAATTCACCCGTTAGATGTACTAATTTCAAAAATCGATTAAATTAATCGATTAAATTATAAAAGTAATACTTAATCGGTTACGTTAATCACGATTTGAAAAATCATGATTTTATGCAACAATGAATTATTAATCAAATAATTTAATCCATTAATTTTATACCAATTAAAAATTAATATCATTCATCGATTAAATTAGTCGCGATTACATGTATGATGATTGATTAATTTCGATTATTGATCAATGGATTACTTTAGTCAACTAAAAATTTAATCGATTAACTGACGGTTTTATATCTATAATTACTATGCAAACATATATTATATATATAATATAATAGCTTATAGATTCTCAATATTTTGTCATAAGTCTGACTCGCGTCTCCGAATATTGATCGTTTTTCTTCTATAACCTTGAGGTTATTTCGTGAAAATAAATAAATATTATATCACATTAAAGCTTATTGTTAGTCACGCAGTATTCATTGTAACACAAATAGTGCTATTACCTTGGATAGAGGTAAAGTGAGAATAAAAATTTCAACTTTCAACATTTTTAATCCAATAAAATACTATAAAAAATTGAAGAAAGACTTAATATCAGTGGCACGATGGTGCGTATTTGTGCGCGTATGTTATATACATAATAAACGATAATAAATCATAAACGATATAATAAAAGTTACTCTATAAAATTTACGAAAAAAGGGAACATTACTAATCATCTATCGTGTATAATTTTAGGATACTTCTGACACAAATGATACATTTTGTATAAGAGACAATATTTTAATAGGCTTACAAACTTTGGGTCTAGATAATACACAAAATTGTATAAATATTGGAGATCTAATTTTAAAATCTTTTATATCTAACCCGAATTTCATTGCCCAGGTAATGCGTTTTAGTAACAAAACTTGTTCGCTTCTTACAGATGTATACATAATACAGATATCTAATAATATCTATTAACAATGTAAAATTATATAAACTCATTGGACGAAAGATGTAATATTATTAACTAACAAAGTAATATATTGTCTCGCAGGTGGATGCGACAACAGAAGAAGAAAATACATTCCAACAGATGAGAGAAAAGAGTGTGAAATGTGCATTATGGATGGAAAAATCGGGTATTCAACCAAATGATGTAATAATGATATGCACAAATAATCAATTAGATGCTTATGTACCGTTTCTGGCGGCTTTATACATCGGCGCTGTTGTTAGTCCATTAGATGAGTATTTTATCGAAGGTATATTATTCTTCTCCACTTAATTTTCACACTATGTATTTTCATAGTCAATTATTTATTAATAATTTAATTTAATTTATCATTCATAGACAATTTAGATTACTTTTCGGAACAAGTTAAGCCGGCTATGCTTTTCATCGATGAAATATATTATACGACAGCTCTCTACTCTATGAATCAATTAAAAATTCTCAAAGGCATACCTATGCCAAAAATCATAGTTTTTTCTGATAAATATAAAGATCCACTAACTAGAAATAAAGATTTACTAACTCTGGAAGCAATTCTCAATGACAACTATGATCTGATGAGCATTGAATTTTTTTCCTGTGCTAAAGTAATAAATATGAGGTCAACTGCGATGAGATTGTTTACTTCAGGCACAACTGCTTCTCCTGCACATATACAAATTCCTCATTTAGCTTTTATAGCTCCATCAGATCAGCACGCACCCAATATGTTTCAAAATGATACCGCTCTGTTGTTCGAATCCTTATGTTTTATCAATGGCATATTTATAACTATTCAGGCTATTCTTTTGCATGTAAAAATAATCAGGATTAAATCGCATTTTGATGCAGAAATAGCGTGTAAAGTAATAGAGAAATACAGGGTATTGTATAGACATTTAAATTTTTCTTTGAATATGTGGAGAATATGAATTATTTACATAATATATAAAATATGAAATATTTATTTATCTTAGGTGACGTGGGCTTTTCTTGAAACTAGTATGTGCCACCAATTAAGTAAGTTTTGCCAGCTTGAAAAATATGATATCTCCTCTTTAAAGAAAATTGTATTCAGCGGTTCAACTACCAGTTCATTAAGAGTTCATATTGTTCTCAAAGAGTTGCTACCTAATGTTTCTATCCTTCAAGCATACAGTATGTACATACACTTGTTACAATTATAATCAAAGGCTGATATATATAATATTTAATAGCGATTTAATATTTAACATTAATGAATCTTATTTCAGGTCTGACTGAAACAGGCATCATCGCTTATCAGCGACATTCAGGGAAAATCGGATCCAGTGGTTATGTGAGTGCAAATGTTCAATTAAAGATAGTTTCTTTAGACCCTTTAGATCAAGGGAAGTTATTAGGTCCAAATATCTCTGGTGAGATTTATTGCACTTCTCCTTATATGATGATAGCACATGAGGCCCAAGAATTTTACGGTTTTAATAGTTAGTTATATTTTCTTTTACTTAATAATCTATAATTATGATTCTATATATGACCTACACGCTTTAAATTATTAATGAAAAAAATACATTGTGTATATAAAGTTTATACTGATTTGTACAGAGAAATTATGCATTTCAGACTGGTTCGGAACAGGAGATTTGGGTTATTACGATGAAGATGGCAATGTATTTATCATCGATCGAATCAACCAACTTTTTGAAGTCAACAATCATATAATTTCACCAACTGCAATTGAAAATGTGTTACAAATGCATTGGCCGGTATTTGAAGCAGTTGTAACCTCTATACCAAGCCGTAATAAGGATAAATACGCAATAGCGTTTGTTACAAAGATGCCTGGATTACAGGTTTAAATAATTCGCTTTTTATAAAGTCAAACAAAATTATTTGTATAAAAAGATTCAAGTTATTATATCTTGTAGGTGACAGAAGCAGATCTGCAACAATTGGTGAAAGAAAGATTGAGTTCCAACAATCATCTTCAGCATGTGACATTTCTTTGGCGTTTGCCGCGCTTTTCTAATGGAAGAATCAATCGCAAGTTACTTTATAATATGGCGCGTTCTCATTTGTTCTGGTAAAAATATACAATTTCTGATTAATCTGTCAGCAGAGCGTTATAACATATTAAGATCTGTGGTAGTGAAAAAATAGTCGGAAATACAGATACAAAATAATAACATGAGCATGTTCGAAATTCATTTTTTGATTTGAATATATGAGCCAAGATGTAATACCAAATTATACGATAATGTAATATTTTAGTATTTTTAATTAAAAATGTGATGCATATGTACTAAATTTTATAATTAGTGTAAAATATTTTTTACCAGAAGTGAAAAATTTAATGTTTCATATAATGTTGTATAACTAAACCGAAGCAAATTTGACTGCAGTCTTGAAGCGATTTGGAATAAAAAAATTATACCTAAAATAGAATATTGGTAAATTTTCTATCATATTTCAATATCAACAATTATGCATTTTTATATGTGCTGTTGCAATATACAATAAATTTTGTTTACTAGAACTTTATGATTTTTTAAATATATTTTTTTAGTCAAATCTGTATTTATCTTACATTTTATTTCTTAATTTCAAAGTTATAGCTCAATTGCGTGGGACTTGCTGTACATTTAGGAAATAGATTTGTACCACAAGCGTAGTTATCAATAAAATGTTTCATATAAAAATCTGTAAAATAATACACAAACATATCAAGGAAAATTGAATTTTATCGCACATCGTATATAAGTATTAAATAATGGATATTCTCTCATTTATGTCACATCTAACTGACTATATGAAATATATATCGCGTTTCATTATATTTTATAATCCGAACCGTCGTGGATTATATCGTGGAACCATCGTAATTGCAATGTAATGTCGCGATAACGTTAATATTCAATTACTCCGCGAAAAGATAACCACAGGATAAAATATCCTCTGCAGGGTATTATCGTATCACGTTGTTTACAGCACGCGCCGCATTATTTTATCGCGTCGCTGTTACATGACAGTCCCTCATTAGCGAAGCGAAATTACTCGGATTCGATTATCTTCTGCAACGCGATGGCGGAAGTGCGCGATGCAACATCATCGATAACTCTTTATTTTATAGATACACACGATGTTTTACCCGATTGCTTTTAACGATTGTTGATCAATCGACCGGACGATTTTGCAGTTTCGGCTGCCGGAATCGCAACCGAGCAACTGTATCAAACTGTCTGGCCGCCGCCACCTCTACCCTTCTCGTTCGCCGGCCGGTCGACCGGTCCGCGTAGACAAGGGGATAGATAAAATCGGTATTACGTTTAGGGACACGCACGTGCAAACCTATTAACGAACGCACGCTCACGCATCCGAGCGCTCGCGCGGGCACTGCTATAACTCACACACAGAACACGCATACAGAACACCAACAATCGCTATGATTTACGTGATGCCGTGCTACTACGTCCCCCTTTCCCCCGTTTTGCCGACACTTAAATTTCATGCCATTCTATTAACCTCTGCACATCCCTGTATGTTGCTATAAAATTTTGGAAAATGGCTCGATATACATATTTTCCGTTACGGAAACATTCACATTTCCTACATTCAAATTTGATAATCTGCAATCTCTGATTCAGTAGCACATAATATAACATTGGTTTAATAGAATTTTATATCATCATTGTGTTTTGGTAAAGCTGCAAAATATTTTATGTCGGAAAATCCTTTCTCTCTCTCTCTCTCTCTCTCTCTCTCTCTCTCTCTCTCTCTCTCTCTCTCTCTCTCTTACATGCCAATAAATTTTGCGCCTATAAAAACTTTAATTAATAAATCATTTTTTACGTATATTAATTTTTTACTATGATCTCAAATATCAAATTTATAAAGTCCAGTATTAATTCAGTTTTTACAAAGTTTTTTTTTTCAACAAATTTCAACAAAGAAAAAGTTTATACATTTTTTGATTGTATAAAATTAGTAAATAATATATTTTTAAATAGCTTTTATGAATCAAGCAAATCTAAAATAAACTTAAAACAATTAGTCATTATATTTTAAACGTCCTAAAAATTGTATAAGATATTTTTACTACATTGTTTTTTTTATTATATTCTTATTATTATCAAAATCAAATATTCCGTGTTTAATAATAATATAGAAAATTATCAAAATGTATGCCATTTAATAGCGCTGCAATTTTAAATATACTCTAATTGCGGTAAAAATCGATACTAGACTTCTTGTATTTTCAAGTTTCAATGAAAGTATCAAAGTAATATAGAACAAGAAAAAATTCACCTGAGCAGTACGCTTTTTAACGAGCGTTTCAATTAAGCGATATACGGACGTTAACGATATTTTAATTGATAAAATTTTGCAAACGCTGGTAGATCACCGTAGCGAGAACACAAATTTCCAATTTTCGTTGTCGCAAGATGGCGAAAAAGTTTAATTGCCGGCGTCTCGCCAAAGTTGTTCGTGCGAAACTTTTTAAAGTATTTCCGGTCGACTTAGACGATCGTTTTGTCAGCTCTCGCGAGAAAAATTGAATGAAAAACTGCGACTTTGCGAGAAAATCTTAACGAAGCGAAAGGATATTGTTTTAAAAACATTTTGTAACAATTTTGTTACAATGCTACAATTTTACATATTTCTATTTTATATATATGTATATATACATATAAGATAGCATATTCTATGTGTGTACATTAATTTTTTAGAAAATACTGCAAGAATTTTTATTCGCGTCTACATCTATATTTCTTCCTCATCTAACAAGACTATAAATTACATTCAACGAACGGTAGATAAACGATGCACTTCCCACACACAAGAAGATGCTACATCAAGCTCATTCTCTCGTATCTTGTGAGTTTTATAGAGTTGATCGTACTCTTATGTTGATTCCGTATCATTATCATCACCTGATCTTGACGTGACTGAGAAGTTTTTTTGCTCGTTTCGCCTTTTCGTTTCACCGAAGGAACAGGTCGTGTTGTCAGGTGAGCCAATCCAGGAAGCTTCATCGCGAATACGCAGTCTATCGGGCGAGAGAACGTCCCGATATCGAATCGTCCGTTACACGGAATGACGTTTACCTTGCCAAGATACCGGCGCATGTAGGCGAGAACATGGCTGTATATTTTCCCACAGATTTCCCATTCAAAGAGACGCTTCTCAGAAATATCTTGCAAGACTTGCGCTTAGTCATGCAGCATAGTGCATATTTCAGATCGCATCAATTCGTTCTCTCTCCCTTTCATTTTCACTATCTTTATATATTTACCGTCAATATTTTTTCGATATTTGTCGCGAGAAACTTCCATATAGATTGTAAAGATTTCTTCTGATTTTCTAGATATATCAAAAACAATATTTGCGCGTTTATTTGTGATTATATTCGATAAAATTGTTGATACGCAAAAACGAGCATTAGGAAAAATAAACAACTTGCAAATTACGAATTATTTGTTGTAAAACCTTAAATGAAATATGTAAAAATATTCAAGTCTATAAATAGTGCCTTCATATTTTAATTTGCGATTCATTTACATGATTTGCTTTAAACATATATATTGTTATTGTTTATATTTTTTAATTTTACTTTCTATATCTATAATTTAAAAATATTTAAATTTTTTTTGTATTTGTATTTATCTTTGAATTTGTTATCGCTAGTATGTTATTAAACTTTTGGAACAGTAAAAAAATTAATGTACGCGCATATACTCAAAATATTTGGTAAATTAAAAATGTTCTTTACAACGGGAGAAATATCTCTACCAATAAAAAAGCCTAGTTTCTTTTATCAAAATCGACAAAGATATCAAATAAATATATAAATAGGATATATTTTTTCCTCAAGATTTCTCATATTACATGCCAATAAATTTTGCGCCTATAAAAACTTTAATTAATAAATCATTTTTTACGTATATTAATTTTTTACTATGATCTCAAATATCAAATTTATAAAGTCCAGTATTAATTCAGTTTTTACAAAGTTTTTTTTTATTATATTCTTATTATTATCAAAATCAAATATTCCGTGTTTAATAATAATATAGAAAATTATCAAAATGTATGCCATTTAATAGCGCTGCAATTTTAAATATACTCTAATTGCGGTAAAAATCGATACTAGACTTCTTGTATTTTCAAGTTTCAATGAAAGTATCAAAGTAATATAGAACAAGAAAAAATTCACCTGAGCAGTACGCTTTTTAACGAGCGTTTCAATTAAGCGATATACGGACGTTAACGATATTTTAATTGATAAAATTTTGCAAACGCTGGTAGATCACCGTAGCGAGAACACAAATTTCCAATTTTCGTTGTCGCAAGATGGCGAAAAAGTTTAATTGCCGGCGTCTCGCCAAAGTTGTTCGTGCGAAACTTTTTAAAGTATTTCCGGTCGACTTAGACGATCGTTTTGTCAGCTCTCGCGAGAAAAATTGAATGAAAAACTGCGACTTTGCGAGAAAATCTTAACGAAGCGAAAGGATATTGTTTTAAAAACATTTTGTAACAATTTTGTTACAATGCTACAATTTTACATATTTCTATTTTATATATATGTATATATACATATAAGATAGCATATTCTATGTGTGTACATTAATTTTTTAGAAAATACTGCAAGAATTTTTATTCGCGTCTACATCTATATTTCTTCCTCATCTAACAAGACTATAAATTACATTCAACGAACGGTAGATAAACGATGCACTTCCCACACACAAGAAGATGCTACATCAAGCTCATTCTCTCGTATCTTGTGAGTTTTATAGAGTTGATCGTACTCTTATGTTGATTCCGTATCATTATCATCACCTGATCTTGACGTGACTGAGAAGTTTTTTTGCTCGTTTCGCCTTTTCGTTTCACCGAAGGAACAGGTCGTGTTGTCAGGTGAGCCAATCCAGGAAGCTTCATCGCGAATACGCAGTCTATCGGGCGAGAGAACGTCCCGATATCGAATCGTCCGTTACACGGAATGACGTTTACCTTGCCAAGATACCGGCGCATGTAGGCGAGAACATGGCTGTATATTTTCCCACAGATTTCCCATTCAAAGAGACGCTTCTCAGAAATATCTTGCAAGACTTGCGCTTAGTCATGCAGCATAGTGCATATTTCAGATCGCATCAATTCGTTCTCTCTCCCTTTCATTTTCACTATCTTTATATATTTACCGTCAATATTTTTTCGATATTTGTCGCGAGAAACTTCCATATAGATTGTAAAGATTTCTTCTGATTTTCTAGATATATCAAAAACAATATTTGCGCGTTTATTTGTGATTATATTCGATAAAATTGTTGATACGCAAAAACGAGCATTAGAAAAAATAAACAACTTGCAAATTACGAATTATTTGTTGTAAAACCTTAAATGAAATATGTAAAAATATTCAAGTCTATAAATAGTGCCTTCATATTTTAATTTGCGATTCATTTACATGATTTGCTTTAAACATATATATTGTTATTGTTTATATTTTTTAATTTTACTTTCTATATCTATAATTTAAAAATATTTAAATTTTTTTTGTATTTGTATTTATCTTTGAATTTGTTATCGCTAGTATGTTATTAAACTTTTGGAACAGTAAAAAAATTAATGTACGCGCATATACTCAAAATATTTGGTAAATTAAAAATGTTCTTTACAACGGGAGAAATATCTCTACCAATAAAAAAGCCTAGTTTCTTTTATCAAAATCGACAAAGATATCAAATAAATATATAAATAGGATATATTTTTTCCTCAAGATTTAAAAGAAATTTTGACAAAATTATAATGGAGAGATCAATGTTGCATCTAATCTCCGATTCGCATAGTATTTGATCATAAGTCAGTAGTACAATTAATCGTTATAAATAGGATAACATTACGCACGGTGCCGTTGCATTTCCGGCTATAGAGTAGTAGTGGGATGAAGGCACGTGGTCGCAAATTCACCCTCTCGTACAACGCGCCCACCGCCGAAGTTCACCGCGGAATAAAGAAGGAAGTGCGCGCGGTGGTTGAATAAGGTCGTACGAGAGTGACGAGGGTGGGGAGAGCCGGAGAGTGGCGCGCAGCTGCGCGCGCATCCGAGTCACGCTGCCACCGGCGCGCCGCGTGGTCGGACGATTCAGTAACGCCGAATCCTCCAAGCGAGGAGGTTATATCCGACAAGTGTCCGATGGACACAATACTTTTCTTTGTTGTACGACTAAATTCTCTCCAGATTTCGACTTCCTCGATACTTGTGTTCGCGTTCGCGAGGTAATATGATAATCGACTAGATGTGTATATCGTGTATCGAGTGTATGCGAGATCGTTTGCAAAAATATCCTTGTCCAGCGTGACTCACGCGGCGAACTTCGAATTTTTCTTGGTAAAAGTGGACCGAGTGACTGACCGGTGTGAAGTGTCTCTCGAAGAAGGGGCAACGAATGAGAATAAAATCGCGAGGCTCGCAAATTCTCGAAATCATGAGAGCGATCCTTCGTTGCGTCGCATTCGTCGTGACGATCGCGGCGGCCGTCGTGTCAGAGCCCAACGACCTGACAAAATCGCAGGTGATGATCTTCAAATGCTGTCGATACGGCGAGGAATTGCGACAATCGAGCGGCGATTTGAACGACGACGAATTGCCGCGCTGCGAGCCTACGTTGAACGAGTGGAAGCCGTTGATTTACTCGCCGATGCGTCGAACTTTCGTCTCGAAAGTGCCCTCTGAGTGGCACGTCCTCGACGGCCGAAGACCGGAATGCGACGATAGCTCGGAGCTGATCCACGTGCCCTACCGGAAAGCCAACCCGTTCATCCTGCTCGACGACGGGAATGTGGTACTCGAGACCGGAGACAGCGACAGCATACCCGTGAGCCACTATTGCGCCGATTCGAACGCGTTGCTTGTGTGCAGGCAAAAAAGAACAACGGGCTATCATGCCGCCGCGACGATGAGGCCACGGGTACGACGATGCTGCGGCGAGAACGCCACATTCCACGAACACAAGTGAGTCTCGCATAGTTTTGTGATTTTCTTGATAGTCGACGATGTCAAACGAAACGAATATCTTAGGTTAAATTAGGTTAGGTTGGAGTGAGATACAAATCTGATACTCGTGTCAGTTAACAAGGTCGTTTGAAATTGCCTTTGGTTAAGCGGGATGTTTCTTTTTCTTTTTCTTTTTTTTTTTTTAACACAAACAAGTTTCTTGGAACAAATATATAATATTGCGATCATGCTTATTTATAAACGAAAATAATATATTGCTAGTAGCTTTTATAAAATAATTATTATCTTCGAATATTATGGAACAAATGGGCACAAGATTTTACCTCATTTCTCGTTTATTTCTTTGGTAAAATGTTAGTAAGTCTTCGACTCTTAACCGTTTCGTAGTAACTTGTTTATTTACTGCGGATGCCTCTCTTAAATGCGTTGGATACACGCAGCGTGACCTTGACGTTTATGAAACACGCAAGTTTTTGGTTTCATTCGAGATTGTTGATGTGTGCGCAAACCATCTCTCTAATAAATTCAAATGTAACTTAACACATATGTGAATCATTAATATATTATATAAATTCATCATTAAATATTATATGCAACGCATTATATATTAATCATTCAATAATCACGTCATTTTTATATAACGATATACATATTTCGAATATTAACAATATTAAAATATTAACAATATTCGACTGATGATACAAAACAGAAAAAACAGAAAAAAATTTATAGAAAAATCTTTATATTTCTTGAAATTATATTTAAATAATCTAAGGGATAAGGATGCTTTTTTATAGCATTTTTAATTATCATCATTAATTATCGAATGACACATTTTGATCTACATACATATAAAAAAACTGCAAAAAACATAATATATATTATTTAGAAAACGGAAAAAGAAGTTAAAATTATTTGTTATCAATTATTTTTCATTGTCAGTTATTTCTATATTCTCATTTTTTTACCAATGAGGCTTCATAATGTACGAAAAAAATACCTTTGTGTTGCAGAAATACCTGCGTTCATTTAAAAGAGACCGCGGACGCACCGCCCCTCTTGCCGAACACATCATCTGTTGTTGAGATCGTGGCTGGATTTCCAGCCTGCCCGAAATCTGACAACTTCACGATCCTGGGAGACGCGAGGGATGCCGTATTACAACCCGATGGTGGCCTGGAGATAAACGGCATCGTTTTGCCCACCGGTCAGTTTTGTGTCGAGAGAATCAAGGAGCTCAACCAGATAGCCAAGGTGTTTGCCTGTCCGGAACATGCACCACAAAAGTTAGTACATTAAGATTAAGATTATCGTGCGCGCGCGCGCGCGCGCGATATTTTCGTTCTTGCTGCGCCTTTTTTTTCGGACGTTGTAACGTGATCTACAAATGAAGATAACGAAATCTTCTCGCTTAGTGTGATAATATCGCGATGCGCGTGGTAAAAAAGCTGTTAGCGTGCTTTTAACACGTCAAAATCTTCAAACGGATGCGTGAAAGCTTTAAATAATTCAAGGATTCCTATCGTATTTCTCTGCTTATTCTTTGTTTATTAGACTTTGTTTTCTCGATAATAGTTTCATTTATTTTTCATCACATGTGTATCACATAACGTCGATTTTATAGTATTTGTTTATGTAGTAATTTTGTGTATAGTTAATTGAACGAAAAAAGAGTAATAATAATATAAAAGATAATATTTTTTTTTATTTTTTAGTAAATCTAAAGAAATACTTTGCGAATCAAAAAAATTCCTATGATAAAAATTCTTTTTTAAAACATTTTTCTCTATATTATTGGTATTAATATTGTTTTGCATGTTGTGCTACAAATTTAATATATTCCAAAAGCGTGCTGTTCTACATAATTGACAACGCGATATCAAGCGTAAATAACAGGAAATCGATAATCGATTCTTCAATTAGACAAAGTTAATTTTCTGTTGTTCTCGTTACCTCGATCATCATTCATTCATCTCATCTGACGGAGAATAAAGTCAAATCGCGATGGGTTCCGGCAGTCAAATCATCCAACTCACTTTAAAGCTCCGAGCACGATTCGATTTTTTGCCCTGCTAACAAGTATCGCTTACTCCGATCTGAATTTATCGCGCGGTTTAATTGCGCGTTCGTCGATAGGTGATTGCGCTAGGGATAAACGGCCCCGTTTTTACATCATTGCCAACGATATGTCGAGAAAAAGTCGGCTTCTACACACACTTTCACTTCTCATCGTAATCCTTTCGAAGTATTTCTAGGTCACGTATGTCCGCGATCCCACGTCATCCAAGATTCCATTAAAACGTTCTCACAACTCGATACCGCGTTTCCGCGCACCAGAACGATGAGCGATGAAAATGCTGCTCAGATTGTTATGTAAAGAAAACGGCCTTGTCATACTTATGTAAAGCTAACATTCTTTTTACTGTAACGTTTTTAGAATTTCGATACAATCCAAAGAGATTTTCTCTCAATGAGTTTTGAAAAAAAATTAGTAATAACTTTTTTATTTCAATCGCTTTGAGTCGTAATATTTTTCGATAGAACTTTTAAGACGCTATCTAGAATTTTTTCAAAAAAAGTGCAACGTAAAAATATACTTATATAAAATAACGTAAAAATATTTTTATATAAATATCGCAAAAATTAGCAATATACGAATATTCCATGTTACGTGACATAAATCACATCAAGTTTACGGTATCTGTATGACATGTGACGTAGGGTTAGAAGATCTCATTTGCCGAGACATTTCATTAAGATTAAGGACGAACCGTGATAGATTGACGGATGTCACTGATAGTAAAAGATCCGAGAGTTTCCATTCACTCTACAGAGAGACAGCGTCATGTATATAATTTCGCGTATATAATACACATATAATATAGAGCAAATTCATAGGTAGAACATATCGTTACCGTAAAATATACAAATGAACGTTCTCCCGTGTTTATTTCCTGGATTCGAACTCTCGGTACGCGTCGACGCGACGTTTGCGAAATTGCCGGGAGAATATACGGCAGTTTGCAAAAGTTTAATCGCCGGTAGGTGTACAAAGTAACATTGGAAATACGATTAACGCGTCTGTGCAGAACCAATTTTGTAGAAAGTTGCGTACGTACGCCTGTATTTTGTTCGCATTCTACATATTTGCGTTTGTACGGACACAAATACGGGCTGGCCGATCGTTGACATTCCATTTCCCGTGAAAAATTTACTCGCCAACGAACAACTCCACCGAACGCCAATCAATGGAACAAAACACGGGCCGGATGCTATCGGTTTTTGCATTCACGTATAGTGGTAGTGAATTATTGCGACTTTTCTTAAAATCGAATTCAATCAATCTTTAACGATCTGTGAACGAAAGCGTGTGTCACTTGTATCTGAAACACGATGTAATTGAACAGATTTTGCGATAAATCATAAATAATGCATATTTTATCTTCATAAATTTCTTGTAAAAGAGCATTATTGTCTCTTGCAATGCATAAATTATCGTAAATAAAACATTTCTATTTTGCAAGAGATACGTATGTATATTTTTCAAAATTATCTCAATAAATTGAAATTTCTATAAACATAACTGGAATATAGTTTATGAAAATTTTAGAAATACTTGCTTCGCGATTTTTTTTCACCCTATATACTAACACAACACACCGCATATTGATGCAAGTCAAAACCACCGTAAATGATTTTGAAAGCGGAAATTTGTCCTAAATGCAATTAAATCGAGAGATCGTCAGCCGCGATGAAAAATTGTTTCATCTGAATCTTTCAGGAATCTTAATTAAAAACGGACGTAACGATCATCGATATAACGCGGTATTATTTCCATTATATAGGACCGATCGAATATCTGGCTCACTGCCCACAGCTGGCAGTGAGCCAATCGGACAATTGCCGATGTGACGCCGATAAAACTGCCCGAATTTAATTAATCCGCCCAGCGCGAGAAATAACTAATAGCGCCATAATTCGTCTTTTTCTTCCGTGGCTTTTTGCCTGCGGATGGCGAAAAATATCGACGGTATGCCGAGTTTTAAATGTATGATAACCTTTCTTTCTGCGTGTGCCGCTGCATGTATAAAGAAAAAAAAATACTTATAATATAAATTATAGAAAAGAATAGTTTTTTCATGAGAAAAACATTTTCACGAAAATATATCTACATTTATACAACAACAAGCTGTTATTTTTTTTTAGTGTTAATTGTTATTATTATTGCGAGATTTATTAATAAATTATATGTTGTTTGGGGATTGTCGCTAATTGTTACATAAATCTGAATTGTGTTCATTTGGGCTTTCCATTAATACATGAACGCATAATAAAGCATAATATTATAGTGATTCTAATTAAATAATTTTCCGTTATTTAATGCGTATATTAATCCATATGCGTAACGTATATATATATATATGAAATGCTATGATAAAATAATATCGCATTACCGGGCCTTTGGCAAATAAATATCTAAAATTTAAATTAAATAGAAAGGATTATATATATATCACAAGACGGGGGAAATCATATCTTTTATTAATTATATGATATGTATACAATTTCATGGTAATATAATATACAATAATCAGCAAATATTTTAAAAACATGTAAAGAAGAAGATGGAATATATATATATCTTTTACACAATTTTTATATTTGAAAGATCTTTTTTAAAGAACGTTTAGATTATGATTAGCATGTTTTTTAGATTGTTAGCTTTTAAATTATTGTATTCTCTTGTTACGTTGAATAGACTTAGATAAGGTATTGATCTTATAAGGTACGCCTAAAAAGTAGCATCCTAATCCGCTCGAATTTCTCAGACCTGCAGTGCGTGCGACGGACATCAGGTTCACCCTATATCCCGTGGGCTTCATCATTAGCGCCGTCTTCCTGGCAGCCACCCTGGCAGCAGGTTGGTTGTTACCGGCCTCTCATCACGTCTTGCACTGGCGCTGCCAGACTCATCATGTCGCCTGCTTGATGATGGGTGATATTCTCATGGCCATCATTCAGCTCGCCGGGGATTCCCTTCACGGTGCAAGCTGCAAGGCGCTCGGTGAGTCTTTATTATTGCCTTGTTAATTTTTTTATCACCGTTTCTCTTACTTCTCTAAATACAGTAATTTCAGTTTTGATGCCACGAGAAAAAATGCGTACAGAAATAAATTTTGCATACCTTTTCTTCGATATTCGATGCATTAATCGTGCAATCTTATTCTAACTTTCTATGCGTTGTTTCCACATGAAATGTATGCAAAACTAATATTTAAAATTTCTAATCTAATTTGGGAGAAAAACATTTGGAGTTTTATCTTGGTATTTTTTTATATATAATTTATGCTATTTATTGCATTTTTTTAAGTGGCTCCTGTTATTATAAATAAGCATATCATAAGTCATTTCCGCAAATTTATATAATATTTTTTATTTATATAATGTATATTTTTCTAATATTTTCCGTCCTATTTATTCGGTAACTTAAAGGTTCGCGAATCTATCAATCTGTTGTATTTTTTAATTTTTTATTTATATCTTTCAATCTGTTGACATTGTCATATTTCTTATTTCATCTAATAACTTGAGGAGGAACCTATTTGCCGCGTTTTTTTGTTCGCCACATAAGGAAGCTATATCTATAATCTCCGACCGGAGAAAAGAAACCGTCGCCGTGATATCTTCGGGATTAATGACGGCAAAAACTATCGCGCATCTCTACGTCATGAAAAGTCACGAACTTTTGTTCTCGAAATGGGGCTTTCCTCGTTTAGAGAATCTCTTCAATCTTTCATTGAAGATATTTATATCTACCAGATGCCTGTTAGATAAATACGAGGACTTCTTTACGTTTTAGGGATCCTGAAAGATCTTGTAGGCTATACATTTAGCAGAAATTCGTTCGCAAGGTTTTAAAATTTTTGATATACAACAACCAGGTACTCTGACATTGATTTTAATAAGTTAAACAAATGTTTACTTGTACTGAAAAATGAACTTAGGATGAGATTAGGATTACTCTTAAAATTTATATGTATAAAACAACTAAAAAAAGATTATAAAATGACTGAAAAAAAAAAAATTGTATTTATATTAAAATATAGGTAGGTTGTTTAAATAAATATATTTTTTTTTTTAATTTTCTCTTTTTCTCTCGCATAAATGATCATATTAATGTTATTGAATTAATTAAAAGTTAAACTTAAATAGCACATTTCTTGATGGATAATAAAATCTATTTACGCTATATTTACGGTTGTGCAATAATTTAAATTTTAATTAAAAAGAGATTTTTAAATATTTTAAATATCGAAAGATAATTCAATCTTAATGTTGCTTTGCGATAAATGTTGCCGGAAAGCTCATATTCTAAAGCACATTGTAACACACACACTAACTATTAACAATGAACCCTTTATAATTATTAACTGTTACGAAAAATGTGCGTCCAGAACAAACACGCGAGAGCAATGCACTGTGTGTAAATAAACGGATCACTGTTTCGTCGTTTCTTAAACATGACTGATTGATGTCAATGTACTCAAAAGTATATAAGGAAAACTAATTTTATAACTAGAATTGCGATGACTCACCTCGTTTGAGAGTAAATCTGTTGCCTAATTCAATGATAGATTCGAAAGATGGATTACTTTATCAACCAATGAGTAAGACTAATATTTATCCATGGATGCGATCGTGGAACTGAATCTTCCGCTTTCTCCAAAAACTTTGTGTGCCGAGAGAGAAGTGTCGTGGTGAGAGTCTAGAACTGTCGTAATCTTTGCCCTACTTTATCTAAAGCAAAAAGAGAGATATCTCTTTCGCCTAATTCGGGAACGCATTATGAGGACGATCTGAACTATAATATCAGTTGTTAAAGTCTTTTAATATAATTTAAGACATTTAAGATAAAACTATCTCCGTGTCGCTTTTTATCTTAGCGAATGTGTGAAGTAAAGTAGTCGTTAATTTTTTTATAACACTTTAGGCACACCCTTTATTTAGTCAAATAAATGTACAACAGCTAGATATTTCGTAATTTTTATCTTCATATCGAGGACTTCACAAATGACGAATCGCATAAGGAGTCAGCGCGTATGTACTTTCTTGCCAAATGTACTCGGCTATAAATAGGGGGAGAATCGCTCGTAAAAAGTCAATGTGCGTCGCTCTCTGTCTCGTGCGCTCTCCGCTTATGCGAGTATTTATGCATACGCACACGCCCGAGCGTGCACTCACGCGCTGCTTCAATATGGTAAGTCGTGCTTTGGTTCCCCGATATCCATATGCGGCTAATGGCAACGGCCAAGCCGGAATCTCTTTTTGCGCGGGTAGTCTGTATCGATAGCGCAGTACATTCACCTCTTTACTACGCGGGATGAGTTTTAGCGGAGATTTTTTTTTTCCCCGCATTACTCGTCCTTACGAATCTCGCGAAATCTGAAGCCATTTGGGGAATACGCTATTTACTCGATGTATGTAAAATGGAAAATGGAATTTATCCGTTGCATTCGAAATTATCATTTCAAAAATTTGAATTTTGTACAAGATTTTTCGTATATCCCCTATACCCAAGTAGAAGTTTTGTTTTACGAAAAAGTACTTATATATATTAGTTAGTATATATAATAACTTTTTTCTGACATTTTATATATTTAATATTAAGAAAAGCGTCACACATTCGGCATTATTTTTTAAAATTTTGCTATTGTGTGTGTGGTCATCGTATATAAAATATTGTATATATGTCGTAGCCAGATTACATAATCCGTCGTTTTATAAAACGTCTAGGCATTTTATAAAGAGCGGCCACATTCCCAAATCATGGTTCAAAATGAAATATTTTTCAATCTGGTTAAGAATTTTAGACTTTTTCTAAAACAATAACAAATGACCCGCCACATTGTCAAACGCAATGATTTGTATATCGTTTTATATACTGGCTGGTTTATTTCAACCATGATTTGAGAATGTGGCCGCACTTTATAAAATGCCTAGACGTTTTATAAAACGATGGATTATGTAATCTGGCTACGATATATATAAAAACAAAACATATATAATCTTGAAATTTTCCCGGTTTAATGACGAAATTATACGGAATCAAGCTTAATACCAGTTATCTTCATGTATGAAAAGCTATTATAATTATCGTTGTAATTTGATGCGCCGTTTTTGCTCGCATCTTTATGAATGCCCTTTTTCGGGGCGCCTCGTTTTTTGCCCCGTCGTTCGCAAACTCGCGCGACGCTACGACCGTTTTGTCTGGATCCAACAAATCGCGGCACGCGGTTTTTATTTGCGGAGGACGCACGCAGTGATTAAAGAGCGGCACGATAGTGGCAGGAAATGACTTTTTTTTGCAAAAAGAAAGTGAATACTTATATGTACGTGGGTGCAAAGTAATTACGCGAGAGACGTAATCTGGAACGCATAAAAGAACATACGCGTTTTTATCACGTTCCATGCAAGTTTCAGGCGTGAAGCGCTGGTCTGATTAAATCGAGAGGGATATCACATCGATAAAACGCGTAAATGATTCAAAGTGGAGAAACGCAAAGTAAAAGGATTAACTTTCACATCTCGCACGAATTAATTTAGATTGCTTGAATATTCGTACGAACCTAAAGAGAGTATAATCAGATTGTCGGGAAATATAAAAGCATTTTAATTCTGACTGAGAATTTAAAAAAGCTTGTGAAAAGCGTAAAAATAAAATATAAAGCGAGTAAACTAATTAACAAAAATTAAAAAGACGCGTTAATACTATTCTATACACAAGCTTATTTCTTTTCTTCAATTCAACGTAATCTCACAAGTTGCTTCGAATCTCATTAATATTACATTATCTGTACATATTGCATTACGATGAGATGATTTGATCCGCAACTATCGCATAATTGGTAGCGATAAATCGTACATTTCAGGATGAATGAGCCGCCGGCACATCGATCACATTTGGAGAACGACAAAGCTGTAATCAGATTGTCGACAGGGTACCGCCGTCACGCGTCGAGGCTTCATCGAGAACAGAAAGAAGGGGGAGTCGGGGATCCCCATGGCGCCATGGGACTCTATCAGAGTTCTCTCCTTCCCCCTTACCCACCCTCTTCTCTTCCTCTCCCGTCATCGTGCCTCATTTCTTCCGATGACGAGATACGTCCCAGTCACGTAACCCTAAATTGCTCAATTATTTCCCAATCGTTGTCGCAACCGATCACGTTTGCAGTAGTCCCGGAAACATCCATATATTGGCTCGGAACTTACGCTAGGCATTACGTTTTGGCATCTTCTCAGATCGAGTTCGTGCACTTTCCAATACGACTGCTTTCTTCGAGACAAATTTGGCTGAGAAGTATTATAATACAATACGATTTTTGTTCCGTGTAGATAATTTCGTCTATTTCTTATTTGTTTTAATTCTGAATTATTAGTCGAAAATTGCAGAAGAGAAACTTCATGTTTATGTTAAGTTTTTCCAACTTTTTACTATCTTTTCTCTCCTCCCATTGCCGTGCTCTTCTTAGTGTTTATCAAACACAGTATAATCTCTTTCGAGATTATATCGCGCATACCCTAACATCTGTTTACTTTTCCTTGAACAATTTATCTGAATGTAAAATAAGTAGCATTGGCTCCGGAGATTCCGAGCATAAATTACGAATACTTGGCAAAGAATTTTCCGGAACGCTTGATTTAAGCACAGGCATCAAGGAAAACATTATGCAACGCGGTGTAATTTCGTAAGACTGATTTTCACGGACCGAAATGGAAATAAATAGCAAGGGCGACGGCGGCGGTAGCGACGATTACCGCCGCAAGCCCGGGCAATCAGTTTTTCCGGGTTTTCCGGCCGCTGGAACATCACCGTCGTGGCGGAAAAGCAAAGTATACAGAGCGTACACGGTGGGGGGCGGGGGAGGTATCTCCGGTCGCCGGAGGGAAGAATTATTTCTCTTCGTTCCATCGCTTCCTAACTTCATTACAGAATGAAAAGAAAGCTCTCGTCGTCGTGTTGAAGTTTGGCCGGCCACCGAAATCACACCAACGGACAAATACGCG